ACACTGAATGGAGATAAATGGAGACTGAATGACATAAGCCATGTCCCAGGTCTCAAACGGAATTTGTTTTCCGTGGGACAATGGGATGAGGCAGGTTACTTGACAAGTCTTTGAAACTAAGACGTGGAAAGTAACCAAGAGATTTATCGTGGTAGCTCAAGGGATGAAAGATGGCACTCACTACATAACGAACAACATGAAAAAAAAAAAAAATTGGTTCCGCATAAATAATGACGCAAATTTATGGCATTCTCATCTCGGACACATGAGCTAGAAAGGGATGAAGGAGCTTGTCTCAAATGGGAGATTGTCGGGTCTCAAGTCCGTCAATATTAGAGTATGAAAGGACTGTATCTTTGGGAAGCAAAGAAATGTATCATTCTAAAATAGCAGGTGAGACTTGAAAAAAAAAGTTGCAATTGGTCTATACGGACTTGTGAGGACCAGCTCCCGTGTTGTCCCTTGGAGGATCACAGTACTACATCACGTTCATAGACGAAGCTACAAAGAAGGTATGAGTATATTTCTTTAACGTAAATCTGATGCTTTTGATACTTTTAAGAAGTGAAAAGCACTTGTAGAGAATGAAACGGGGCTGTGAGTTAAGTATCTGAGGTCGGATAATGATGGGAAGTACGAGTTGAACGAGTTCAAAGAATACTATACAGAGAATGGCATCCGAATGGAAAAGGCAATATCTGGAACACCGCAACATAATGGTGTAACTGAAATAATGGATAGGACGTTGAATGAGAGAGTTAGATGTATGCATCTAAAGTGTGCTTTCCCAAAGATATTTTGGGTTGATGCGATCAACACAACGGAGTTCCTGATCATTAGAGGTCCATCGACGCCGTTTAATAATGAGATTCCAGATAAGGCGTGGACAAGTAAACCAATTGACTTCCCTTTCTTGTGTATTTTTGTGTTGCACTGCATATGCTGAGGTTAATGTTGAGACGAAGCTAGATGCAAAATCGGTGAAGTCCACGTTAATCAGTTATGGTAGTGATGAGTTTGGGTATCAACTTTCGGATGAATCTAATCGCAAGATTATTCGTACTCGAGATGTTATCTTTGATGAGCAGTCTTGTATAAGAACAAGTCAAGTTACGAGGGCAGAATGAATCCAGAAATGGTTGAGTTGAATATTTCCAATACGAGCCTCAGCAACAAATATCAGGATGATCGGAGTGCGATTGATGCTAAGGTCGAGCGGCCTAACCCTGTTACTGAGAATGTTGAAATCCCGATCGAAGTTGATCCGAATACACCGATAGCATTGAGGAGATCCATGACACACCATAGTGCGCCAGAAAGCTACTCTCGTATCCTTCATAGTTACTTTTGACTTACATTAGAGAACCATAATATTATGCAAAGGCCAAAGCTAGTGAGAAAACTGAGAAGTGGAAATTTGTTATGGATGATGAGATAAATTCTTTCATGACCAACCAAATATTGAAGTTGAGTGAAGTTCCGAAGGGCAATAAAGCATTGTATAACAAGTGGGTTTCTAAGTATACAGAAGATGCAATGAGAGTAGTGAGATTTATGAGAAATCCTGAAAGACAACGTTATATAGTTACCTTAGATATATTGAAGTTGTATTCAAACTCAATTGGCCTTGATGAGTAAAGAATGAGATTTGGCATTGTCATTGCCGATGAAGAAAAATGTGAATGTAGAGATGCAATCATATTTCAAGTTGGATAATATTGGGATATGAAGTCTTATTATATTCTTAAATTTAGGGATATGATTTAGATATTATTAGCATTGGTCAAATGTGGTGAGCCTAGGTTTGCTAAGCTATAAATATACATATATTCTCACTTTTATGGTGTGCAGTTGCGTATTTCATAATAAAATTCTTGACTTGGCAATGGTAAATCATTTTGATCAAACTGGTCACCAAATTTTTGTATTCTTGTCTTCTTATTTGCTCTTCGTGATTTCTTGATTTATGCAACAACGATTTTGGTTTGTATTTTCCAATTTCGATTTTTTCTCTAATGGTTTTGGTTTAAGAACCATTGATTTCGATTTGAAAGGTCCGTTTAAATTTATTCATTTTCTTACTTTTTTATTTGCTAATTTTTTATTTCAATTTTTTTAAAAAAATGTAAATTCTAATTTTGATTTTTTAGATATATATTTAGTTATTTGTATGGTGTCTTGGTTAATATAGACACATGAACTTAGAAAATTAAGATTAAGATAACTCATTAGTGCAATTAAGCTTAAAAATTATAAACTAGTATAAAATTTAAAATATGATTAAGTAGATAATTTATTTTTTTTAAAAAAAAAAGTAACATGATAGTGTGTTTCTTTACATCAAAGCCCCGCGTGTCCCAAAAAAATACATTGTTTTCTGTTACAAACCATCTCATCATATATTATTTTAATTACCAAAGCCAAATTAAAATTTTTCCAAACTCATAAAAGAAACAAACTCTCACCAGAGAGGAGTAATAACAATAACTAAGAATATATTTGATACAAAGAATGAAATAGTAGAAAAATAATAGATAATTAAAAGGAATTGTAGAAAAAAAAATTGATTCTTTTCTTTGATACAACTTTAAAATGTAATACAATTCGGATAAAATGATTCATAGGAGATGATTTATTATGTTTCAGATAAGTGAAGGTAAATCAACTAAAAGGAAACAATGAATTAGCTAAAAAGGATTTCAATAAAATGGGAATCTCCAAAGAAAATTTGTATTAATTAAATAAGTGATTTTTTTTTTTTTCAATTTTGATTTTGGTTTAAACAATAATTTGAATGTAATATTTTGTGAGAAAAATATTATATTTTTAATGTAATATTTTATAAGAAAAACAAATTGCCAAATAAACATACTTTCCCGTTTCTCATTTTCCATATTTTATTTCTCATTTACCATACAGGAGGAATCGTTTGTTTCAAGTTCAAATTCTTTGACTTAAACAAACAGTTTTTTTATTTCTATTTTATGTGTACCAAACACACATTAAGTAGATGATTACAAAATAAAAGATAATTTACAGAATAAATTTAATAAGTAGATAAATTAAATATTGAATTAAAATAAATAAAGACAAATTACTAAAATAGTGATATATTGAATGATAATATAATAAAAGTTATAAATTTGAAAATATGAATAATTTTTAATATACAAGTGTGCTTGGTATATTAATTTTGCAGCATCCAATTTGTGGAACTTATATAACTGAATAAAAAATATATTTTATAATCCTATCAACTATATGAAATCTATGTAACAAAATCAATCAAACTTTGCTTAGAGTATATGAATTTTCTATGCAACAGAAATCCAAATTTTTAAGTCCCAAAATATCCAATAAAATCGCAATTGTAGTGTCATTGCCTAAGAATTGTCATAGACATGATAAACAATAACTACAATTATTATTATTATTATTATTTTTAATGACGTGGGAACCCGCAGCCGCTACCCGAAAGTGCGCACCGGGTAAACACCCGGCCGAACCTAATACTCTGCAAACCAGACCCGGCAGAAAAGTCACACTAAGAGAACAATGTGTGACAGGTGAACTCGGTGTCGGGGAACTACAATTAATTTTGTGCCTATGGAAACATTGTCTCAGGTGATTCAGATCTAACAGGGTGCTGACAGCACCTCCAATATAACCAAATAATTAACACTTAACAAATTTAAAAATAGCATAAGTTTATATCAGTAGTATACAAATACAACACATGAATGGACATAATATGATCCAGATACTACATATATATACATAATACAACTAATTAGTGTGTTTGTTTCGGGGTTTGGATTTTGAGTTGTGATTTGAATAGTAAAAATTTTGAATGTGAATAGTTGTATAATGTGATATAAATAGGTGTTGATGTGATGTTTTGAATGTAAAATTAATTTTAAGTATAATATAAAACATGAAAAATAAGTGTTTGATTTGATGTTTTTGGAAAAAAAATTGGATGAATAGTGTATTTGAGGAAAAATCCCCCGAACAAACACATAATCATTATGTGCTTCAATACTAATCATGTGTTGCGTATATCATTATAGTGTGTTGATTAGTCCCAATAGTGCATATAATCATCAATTAGGGTGTGTTCGTTTGTAAGATTTGTGCAAAATTTTACTATTCATCCAATTTTTTTCCCCCAAAAACATCAAATTAAACACTTATTTTTTATTTTTTATATTATACTAAAAATCAATTTTACATTCAAAACATCACATCAACACCTATTTATATCACATCGTACAACTATTCAAATTCAAAATTTTTACTATTCAAATCCTAACTCAAAATCCAAACCCCCATACAAACACACCCTAATGTACTTTCAAATACTATGATTTTATGTGGTTTGTTGGCCCCAAATTAACCAAACAGCAGCAACCAAGAACAATAAAATAACACTAAAGTGTTTCCGGACGTCCTGCAAACATCAACCAAAACATTAACAGATTAGCTAGAGCTAACATGGTCGATTGTCGCCATCTTTCTAGTCTCTGTCCCTTCCAATTCACTCATAAAATCCAGAAAAGCATCGAATGATTGAACACGAACCTTGTGAAACTATATTGAACAGTCCTTTGATATCGGTCCACCATGTGAACTTAAATACATTAATTTTCTAAAATCAAAGAGCTCCACAATTTCTATTGTAGATTGAGATGCTTGTGTTTCTTAACAGATGCTGCATATTAGTTAAGTGCATGGCAACATTGTCTCTAATAGAGAAACGAGCATATGATAATCACATGATCTGGTTCGCTAATTATTATAGAGAGTTTAGAACAAGAAAATGTAGCAATTTGATGATATCTGTGTGATAACTCGCTCCTTTGAGTAACAAACACGAAAGCTACCTTTTTTTTAAACTCTTAAAATAAAATATGGATGTGTTTTGAAAGAGAGAAAGGACTGATTTTTTGAAGAAAATGGAAGCATACATACTTATGTTTATCAAGTGACTTAACAATGAAAGGATTTATTGACCAGAGGATTTTATACAGCCCTTCTTCCAAGCAGGATCAGAGTCGATAACCGGCATATTTTAGCTGTCTATGGTCTTTTATCCTTTTTATTTGGATAGACATAAAAAAGGGGATTGGAATTAATGTGTTATTACAATGAATATGCAGCGACTGGCCTAATCATGTAAGGCTTTACATTATGAAATTGATCCAACAGGTTTTTCTTGAAATGTATTTGTGGAGTTTAACTTTCTTGTAAGGAATTACAATTCTTGTCCGGGCTAAACAAATCCTAGATAAATGAAAGGATAAATGTCCCCGAAAACAATACTAGAATCTAGTTTTCTATCTTTCTATCTATTTATGTAGAGATGAATGTGTTTTATTGCTTGCTCAAGTGAGATGTGAGATCCACGAATAAATCTTCTCTGCAGGAAATGGTTAGGCCTCCCATAGGATGATAGAACCCGAATTCCTCCTCAGCTTGAGACAGCAATTCTTGAAACATAGGATTCTTCAAATAAGACACCGGAACAACGAACCGCTTCTTTTCGCTGTTCTCCCCAACGTAAACGGCTAAGTGCCCCTTCGGAACCTCAGCTGATCTTCTTTCACTTGATAAAGACCGCCTCAGCTTTTGTACGATGGCCATTGGTGGTTGTATTGGGCAAGAAAATGCGACTTTGATAAAGATATGTTTTGGTAAGAAGCAAAGGCTTGTAAGAGTATATTGTAATTGGGGTTTGTGGTGTATGTATATATAGGCGAGCAATCAAGAACTGCTGTGTACTAAATGTTAGATCAAGTGGGCAACATTTCGAGTAGGATACGTGCTTCCTATGAAAATAGTCAGACATGAGCACATGACAATATAAATGCAGTTGTCTTTATAATCATATATAAGGATCAAAAGATACCACAATTTTTGTAGTCGATATATGGTCCCCTTAGGACATTATGTATACGTAAGTGTCTCTACTGCAATAAATCAGACAAACCATTTGCAGTCTTTCATTATCAAGTACTAATCGGATACGAGTCCACCAATAATTTGAATGCAAGCCTTCCTTCCGAACCTCCAAACATCGGTCCACCATTTGATCGACGAAAATTGATCATATGGTATTTAATCAAAGGTCCACATTGTTTCTGTTGCAAGAAGAAATTGACAGATCATGTGATTTTTCTTCTTAACAGATATGAACATGTTCGACACAAACAATTATATTTTGGCGAGGTCATCTCGTGCTGTCTGAATCCTAAATTATTTTTCTCAAGTTATTGTGTACCAGATGAACATGAATCTTTTTTACAGACTTTGGTTGTCCTGAGATCACTGCACTTCTCTTCTCTAATAAAATCATACTGACTTATCACTGTCACTTCTTCAAACCAATACTTGATTTCCCATTAAACTCAAATATACGGCACTCATCGAATGCATAAAAACCATGATTCCTTTGAACAACAACCTCTAAATGTAACGAAAAAAAAATGGTAAAACACAATTAAACAGGAGAATTTGGTTATTATTAGATGTCTGGGAGCACTGCCAAGAAAATAAGAAATACAATGCCAATTGCACGATTCGAATAAGATAAAAAATTTTGATCAAGATCGAAAGTAATTTTACTAATGAAAGGGAAAGCTGAAATCGAAGAGAAATAACTAAGGGAGTGTATTCATTCCAGATTTTTTTGAATTTAAGAAAGTCAGATTTATGTGGATATCATGTGGATTTTATTAATGTATTTAGGTGGTTTTTCATAAATTTGATTGGATTAATTTATAAATTTGTATGGATTGTAGGAGATTGTAGAATAAATTTATTATTGATTTATATAATTATATAAATTTATATTAAACACAGGTATATATAAATAAACAAATATATATTTAAATTATTAAATAAAAACATCAAAAATATATTAGTTTAAAAAAATACATTATTATTTATTATTATGATTATTGTCATTTCCATTTTCTTCATTTTCAGTTCCATCACGATTATACATTGGCTTCATTTTCTAAATAGCATTAAAAATACACATTTTCGTTGGTTATTTTGTTGTTATTGGATTTATTCAAAGATAAGGAATGTAGAATCGAGTTATTCTCGGGAAGGATCGCGTGGCGTGCGTGCTCGAGAATGTATGTACGACATTGAACGAAGTGTTTAATAATTACATGGATTTGTATACGGATTGATGGTTTAGTCATGCCCATGACTAAAAAAAGGTTATATATTATAGTATGGAAAATCACGTATTCTCTAAATACTGTGATATACTTTGAAAATTATTATTTTCAAATGTAGGAATTAAAAATATTCCCAAATAAAACTATCAAAATTCAAATTAAATAAAATATTTTGAAATTAAAAGTGGCAAATTTTCAATTGGCAACTTTTGAGATTTAAAATAGACACTTTAAAGTTTATTAAATAAAAACTTATCTTCAGGAATGCAGATAGAACAAAAGTAATGCAAATTCTTGTTCCAGAATTAATGTGTGTGCGCAAATAATCTCTCAACATTTTATTTGCTCGATTTTTCGCCTAAAATTCGAGTGTTGCTTTGTTTTATCCTCGTACGAATTTCGTGTAACCCGGGTTAATAGGGTCGAAATATCGTATAAGGAAAGCGAATATACGCGACTCAAAGCATATCCAAGATCGTGTATACCCTGCGAAATTTGATTTCTTCGTATTTTCATTTAATCTGGATTATTTATCCAACAATCTTATACAATATTTTTGAACGGTCATAGATGGGATACTTTGGCGGATATGAAAATTAAATTTGGAAAGATGTCCAAATTTGAGGATATTGGAATTTATTATTTTAATGATCAATTTGTTAGAATTGATTTTGAGAATAAATTCGTGTGCATTCAAAATATCAATTTAAGAGAATACAAAAACTTGCATCTGGGAAATAAAGCAAATATTATTTTATTCGGTTGGGGGTCGCAATCGGCAATATATTTTGGCTTGCATGTAGTGCAATTTATAAGCGATCTTCGAATGATCGAAAATTTAGTGCAGCCCATGGTGGGACTGATTGGCAGCAATAAAACAGCGGTATTGAGCATACCTAATCCAGAAATTCCTGAATGAAATTAGGAGATTGCGCTGTATTTGATTGCGGTGGTTTGTGAAGAAACAACACTATGGAAGGGAATATGATTAAAAGGTTTCTTTCCTCAAAGTTTCTGTATGAAGAATATGGGGAGGTGGATATAATTCTCAAATTAAAATTTACATGAGAATTATTGTTCAATATTGGAAAAAGGATGCAATAATCCTCGAGTATGGAATTAAACTTCCAACGTTCAATATTATATATATATATAGATGTATGTATAAATATTATAAATTAAATTATAGTTGTTTTACCAAATTGTCATGTAATTATTTGACTAAATTAATTGATGTGTTTGCAAAACACATGGTATGACAATTTTGGCATCGTTAAAATTAATTTTGTATAAATTAATTTGTGAAGTGTTGATTCACAATTCTTTACGAGAATTGGTCATTAGTGATTATTTGATAATCACTTGGGCACACTTTAGGAATTATCAAATATAATTTGGCTTCAATTAAATGTGGATTACGTCAAATGCTTTGACCACCACAAAGTTGGGAGTAATATTTTGATGGCTCATGAGGATGGCAAATCGCGGTTAGGCGTGAGGCTGTCCTCTATTATTTATAAAATGTTAACGTTGTTTCAATTATCATGAAGCCAAACTTTGTATGTTGAATTGTATAGAGTGGAATCAATCACTAAGATTCATTTGCCAAGAAACTCACATACAATATGTTATCGGGATGATTAAAGTCCATTAAATTGTCTTAGTATCAGACACCCAATTCCCTCTTAGTACATTGCTGGGAGCTGAATTCAATGTGGAAAGCTCACGTTTAGAGGATTGGAACACACGTAATTTATTCATCCGAAAGAGTGTGTTCGGACTTGCAAGAAAGTTAGGTTGAGGTTTAGCCTCTTAATAATATCTTTGAAAAATCGTCGTGCAGGGGCGAGACTAAAGGAATTACCTATACGAACATGAAGTTTTGCCGCTTCAAAGAAATACTACGGACTTGGCTTTCGATATGTTCGTGAATGGATGGAGACACATGGCTTGTAAAGTGTCAAGTGTAAATTGTTGGGAAAATGAAGCTTTTGTATATATTATCTTCATGTATTCAGTATAAATTGATAGGTTCAATCCTTGGGACACCTAGATTCTCAAATGCTTGGAACGTGTAATGTACTAAGATGAAAATTCAATCGTTACAATATTTTCTTTTATGCATTAGCTTGTTGTGTATGTTGAAAAGTTTTAGAATAAATCATGGATAACGACAAAATGGGGGAGGATTGTTGGTTATTTTGTTGTTATTGGATTTATTCGAAGATAAGAAATGTAGTATCGAGCTATTCTAGAAAAGGGTCGCGTGGGGTGCGTGCTCGAGAATGCTTGTACGACATTGAACGAAGTGTTTAATAATTACATGAATTTGTATACGGATTGATGGTTTAGTCATGCCAATGACTAAAAGAGGGTTATATACGGTAGGAATTAAATTAAATATTGTGATATACTTTGGAAATTATTATTTTTAAGAGTAGGAATTAAATTAAATTAATTCCTGAATAAAACTCTCAAAATTCAGATTAAATAAAATATTTGAAATTAAAAGTTGCAAATTTTTGATTGGCAACTTTTGAAATTTAAATTTAAAATATGCATCTTTTCTTTGAATAGACACTTCAAAGTTTATTAAATAAAAATTATCTTCGAAAATGCAGACAGAACAAAAATAATGCAAATTCTTGCTGCAGAATTAATATGTGTCTCCCAACATTTTACTTGCTTGATTTTTTAGCCTAAAATTCGAGTGTTGCTTTGTTTTATTCTCGTACGAATTTCGTGTAATCTAAGGCTTTAATAGAGTCGAAATATTGTATAAGAAAAGCGAATCTACACGACTCAAAGTATATCAAGATCGTGTATACCCTGCGAAATTCGATTTCTTCGTATTTTCATTCAATCCAGATTATTTCTCTAACAATTTATGCATTAACTTTTGTTGTTTGTTATAGTTTACTTTCAGAAAGAAATTCTAAATTTTTATCTTTCATGTCAAAAAAAATTCTTTCATCTTCACAATTTACTATTTTTGAAAACAAAATTAAATTAAAAAATTAGAAAAAGTAAAAAAATAAATAAATAAATTTAAACTAACCTATCAGTAAAATTATATAAATATCTAATATATTTTCTCCATAATGACTATATAGAGTATTCGGGAATTGAAAATGAGAGGACGTCAATAATATGTATTTATATTGATAGAATAATAGTATTTAATTTTTTATTTTTTTTACAAATATTAATATTATAAAACATTAATTGTAGCAGATTTTTTTTTAATATCAATATGCAATATGCAAAAAGTAAATGAGACCTTAGAGTCGAACATATATATATATAGTATATTTTATTATATAAAAACATAACATTTTTGAAAAAACTGATGATAATTTACTAGTACATTTTGATTTTAAATTATTATTTTTTATTAATAGATTATAATAAATATTAGTATAATATTTATCATTTATATATCAATAATAATAATAATAATAATAATAATAATAATAATAATTTTAAAAATTCATCAAAATTTTTATTTATCAAAAGAGATT